AGATAGATAGATACTTTATTGTCAGTCAGATAGATAGATAGATAGAGACAGACCATCTATCTATCTATCCATCCATCCATCTAAATAGCGTTTAAAGTGTTGTACCTGCCTAGCTAACAGGTACCTTGGACGTATTTAGTGACTGATTTGGTTAGTTGTTTAAATGCAGCTGTTCACCCTCAAGGCTCAGTCAATCAGTGGTCTTGTGAGGGTATAACTGTTCTATGCTGGCATTTTGCACCTTTGCATAAGTCTGTTGCTGCCCTATGGGTGAGGGGTGTCCAATGTTTTTTTACAATGAGAGGTACTTTTACAAAGAATTTCCTGAATCGTGATGTCATATTTTGCTGCTGACTGGGGTCGGGGGGATCCACCTCAGTATATTTTGCCAATCTCAATCGACTAGTTGCCTACCAATGATATAATATATAATGATATAAAGCATTATCCGTTAATCGTCTCGAGATCGACCTGGACTGACCTGATTTGCAAATTCAGCGGCCGGCAAGTGATCGTGTGTTGTGTTGTTTTTAGATTTTCTTTTTTGCTGAGCTATGAACTGCTGCTTCAGTATCTTTGTACCCTCTACCCAAAAAACACCAGCCACCACTGCCTGAAATCAACTGCCATGTTTTTAGATTATTAATGCATATTTAGCTTGATATCAATGTTTTATAGATTATAGCTGTATATCTAGCTTGATAAGAATTGTCACTGGCATTTTGTATTAGATTAATAATGAATATTTGCTCAATAGCAACATATTTTATTGATCAAAGAGAGATTACTTTTTCCCCAGATTGTGCTCCTCCGTTCCTCCTAATTTCAAACAGGAGATGTCCAGCTTTCTTGTTTTATTTTCAAAAGGGATACTTTTTACACGTACTATACTTTCGTTTAAAAATTGTTTCAAGTTTCAGGTATAATAAAGTGTTTATTCAAAGAAAAAACCCTTCTGTTTTAATCCCTTTAAGAGTCATGAACTGATAACTGTGAAATACTGTATACTGTGATACCATGACTCCTTAAGAGCTAAACATGTTTCACATTAAGGCTTATAATGCTGTATGCAATATAAAAAGTGCCTAGTCATCCAATGCAAGCATAATATTGTGTCTGCTATAATGAGGGGGGGGGGGGTGCACTTAGACATTTTAAAGTAAAACACATGGAGTGCCTATACTGACAGACAGGAAGCGAAAACTAAATGTCTGTTGCTTACCATCCATGGATTGGCTAGGTGCTCCAGGTTAAGCCATCGCGCCATGTTCACACAAGGGGTCCTTGTTCTGGCTCCATCGGGCTCCTCTCTAGCCATGCAGGACAAAATCAAGATAGGCCGCGAGGACGAGCCCAAAGCTTCGTCAAGCATGGCCCGGATCTGAGCTTCCTCCTTGTGCCGCTCGCCATCTAACGGAGAAAATGGCATATTGCGAGTGTGCGCTGCAGTGCTGCAAGTAACAGAAAATCTGAGGGTGTCAACGCTTAACATGTTTACTAATGCATCCCTGCAATGTCTTTGTAAGTAGCGAACCAGCACAACAACTGATACCATCATTCCCGCTGCCCACTTCAATGTTTTCAAGTACGGAAAACCGTCTACATATGAACCTTCAAGATGCGAACTTTCAAAGATGAGAATGTGCGTGTCCAATAAATAAAAAATTCTTTAAATGACTGCAAAATTAATAACTGTGCCGGAATTTCAAATTTCTGATGCTAGGCAGCATTAAATGTAGTGTTAATTTCGTCACCTATTTTTAATTTAGTCTTAGTCTTAGTCTTGTGCCAAATGTCCTTGTTAGTTTTAGTCATATTTAGTCATTCACATATCTTTTTTTGTTAGTCAAGTTTTAGTCGACTAAAAGTCTCGTCATTTTAGTCTAGTTTTAGTCAAAAGAAAACTCAAGGTATCTTGGTCAAGTTTTAGTCGACTAAAAGTCTCGTCATTTTAGTCTAGTTTTAGTCAAAAGAAAACTCAAGGTATCTTGGTCAAGTTTTAGTCGACTAAAAGTCTCGTCATTTTAGTCTAGTTTTAGTCA